CAAAGGGCAGCTGTGCAGATCTTTACACACTACTAAGTATGAAGTGAAATCTATTGCTTCAGAAAAAAAAAGAAGTACAACGTTTTGCCAATTTAAAAAACTTTATTTCACTTAAATAAAAAAATAGCCATAAAACCATAATTTACATTTGACTAAATGGCATTTACAGCAGGGCTTGAAAAAGCTGCTCACCCACTCGCAGATGCGAGTAGAAATTCTTTAGCGGCGAGCACAGATGATGGAGTGGCTGCGCTCCAAGCCTCATTGTGAAGCCGAGTTCCGGTTTTGCACTTCTGGTTTCCGGCTTCTTCGGCACCGCTGCTGAGATGACAGGTGCAGGAGGGGAGACACCCTCTCCACCGCCGCGGGGGACTCGAGGTGTAAGTACTGTATACATGTCATATCACTATAATGGAGTACAGGGGAGCTGGGATATACATTACTCAGTAATGTATATCCCAGCTCCCCTGTACTCCATTATAGTAATATTATTATTATTTATTATGCAGTATTTATAAAGCGCCAATAGTTCGCTCAGCGCTGTACATTACAAAGGGGGACAGAACATGTGACAGAACAATACCAATACAATGCAAAACATGAGGGGATCGAGGGCCCTGCTCTTTCGAGCTTACAATCTAGGAGGGAGGGGATGGTGGCACAGGAGGAGATAGCTGTGGGGGATGGAGTGGTAGGAAGAGTGGAGGAGGTCGGCAAGTTAGCAGGGGGTGGGGTAGGCTTCCCTGAAGAGATGGGTTTTCAGGGTGCGCCTAAAGGAGAGGAGAGTAGGTGATAATCTGATGGGTTGGGGCAGGGAGTTCCAGAGGATGGGTGACACCCTGGAGAAGTCCTGGAGGCGGGCATGTATACATGATATGACATGTATACAGTAATGTATATCCCACCTCTGCTGTACTCCATTAGTGATATGACATGTATACAGTAATGTATATCCCCCCCCCCCTGTACTGCATTATAGTGATATGACATGTATACAGTAATCATTACTGTATACATGTCATATCACTATAATGGAGTACAGGGGAGGGGGGATATACATTACTGTATACATGTCATATCACTATAATGGAGTACAGGAGAGGTGGGATATATATACTGTATACATGTCATATCACTATAATGGAGTACAGGAGAGGTGGGATATACATTACTGTATACAGTTTTAGATCTTGGACTCTTTATTCAAATTCAAATTTAATTTTTAAGGGGGCGTGGTTGGGGGCAGGGCTGGGGGTCTGATTTACAGACTATGGTGTCCTTTTATGAAACAGAGATCAGCGGCGATCCTGAGGATTGAGAATTGGAGGAACCACAAACGAAGCAGCGATAATTTACCTCTGCTTAGCAAACGGTGTTTGACGGATCTCTTACTGTAATCTCATGGGATTATAGTAAAAGCAGCCGTTTTCCAGCGTTTGTAGATCGTTCTCCCTTCATTCAGAGAACTGATCTACACCGCTTCATAAAAAGGCATTCATAGGAGAACTGGGTTCTCCAAGAATGCCGGAGAACTGAGCAGCGGTCATTTACTACTGCTTGATAAAAGGACACCTATACACGAAATTAAAGGGCAGCAAGTCATAAGAGAATATAGCTGAAGTAAAACTACTTTGTACTTTCATTGTCCTTTGATCATGATGATGATGAAAAAAATACTGATCAGTTGGACAAAAAGAAGAGAAAACCTTTCCCTCCTGAAGAAAAATGCTGGCCTTGTTAATACTTCCCATATATGTGAGGCTGTTGTAGTTGCTGTAGAAACTGTGGTGGCTTTTGGTTGGTTGTGGAAAAGGAGTTGTAATAAGGCATTCTGCTGTAGAACAGGCTATTTTCTGGTATGTCTCCTGATGAATCTGCAGGAGAGATTGAGCTAAAGCTGTTTATGGTTGAAATATTCCTTTGAGAAAGTTCGTTCGCCAGACCAAAGGGCATTTGTTTGCTCGCCGAGTTTGTGTCCATGGATGCCATGCTGTTAAGAAAGTTGCTCAAGCAAGGTGTATAAGAAACCGCTGGTGCTGATGCTGGTACTGGTGCCAAGTTGGATTTTGTGTCATGCGGTGATGTCTCCAAGGATGGGGAGGACAAAGCTGGACTATCACTTTCTTTTTTACTTGAGATGGTGCCATCTTCCTCATTTGTTATTACCTTGTTTGTGTTTGACTCAGATTTGCTCTTTCTTTTACGACGGAAATTCCCATTGTCGAACATTTTCTCACAGTTGGGATCCAGAGTCCAATAATTTCCTTTACCTGTAGTAAACATAGCAGAGAGATAAGTAGAAGAAACATACCAATGGTTTTGCATAACAAATACCTCTACCCTTACTAACAGTACACTCCATAGTTACAGAAAACAGAATGTAAAAAGACAAATGAAGAGGAAAATGGACAACCAGAAATAAACTGGAATAAATAACTCTATAGTCCAATAAAAAAGAGCATTGAATATGCCTTAGGCTCACCTCAGAAAGCTTTAACACAAGCATAAGGATCTGATATTTTGAAATTTGATTAGACTGAGCTGATAACTTTTTTGTAAAAAAAAAAGATCCTTATCTTGGTGTGTTAGCTTTTCAAATTGAGCCTGCTATGTTGATGTTTTGGATTTTGTTTATTAAAAAAAAAAGGAAAATTAAATGTTTTCTTCCTTATTTTTTATATATTTAAAACTATTCTTTAAAAAAATATAATTTTTAATTGATTAGGTAACTAAATGGGTGGATAGATACAACCATACAGTACATACAAATACAACTGAGAACAAGAAGTTTAAGTTATGTAATAAGAGATGACCTAATAGGTTTCACCAAATGTTTTATGTGGAAACTATGTTCAAAGAACTTTTAGAAACTGAATAAATGTACCCAAAAATGAAATGAATGAAACCTATTTGACTTAGTGGGGTTGATTTACTAAAACTGGAGAGTGCAAATTCTTGTGCAGCTGTACATGGTAGCCAATCAGCTTCTAACCTCAGCTTGTTCAATTAGGCTTTGACAAAAAAAAACCTGGAAGCTGGCTGGTTTCTATGCAGAGCTGCACCAGATTTTGAGTGTACCAGTTTTGGTAAATCAGCCCTGTGCTTCAAAGGGGATAGTAACATATGCTTCACACATAATATGTTTCAAAGATTTTTCTTACCTGGATCATTTTCATCTCTAGCAATTTTCTTGAAGCAATCGTTAAGGGACAAATTGTGCCTGATGGAATTCTGCCAGCCTGCTTTGGTCCTCTTGTAGAAGGGAAAGTTGCCGGACACATAATGGTAGATTTGGCTCAGAGTGAGTTTCTTTTCGGGAGCATTTTGTATTGCCATTGCGATGAGGGCGGAATAGGAATATGGAGGCCTCACCAGCTTGAGAATTTCCTCCTGAGAAGCAACAGACAGCCAGCCAAGGTCTGCGCCACCAAAGCCAGTTGAATTTGGCAGAAACTGTCTCTGAGATCCATAAGATGAAGGCATGTAAGGAGAGGGGTTGTTGCTGTAAGGATAGCTGGTGGAATTGTTGACTCCAGGGCCACCAAGCCACAAGTAAGGATTTGCTGGAGGAGCAAAGTCTCCTATTCCATAATTTGGTGGTCTCTGAGAAGTTTGCAGGTTCTGTTGGTACATGCTAAAGTTGTCGCAGTACATAGACATCTCTGGAGCTTCCTGAGCACTTTTTGGGTGAAGCTGCTGTGGGCTTGAAGCAGGAGGTCTCTGATGAGCTGGAAGCTTGATGGGGTTCATACTCTTCAACTACACCTTTCAACCGTACAGTGCATCAAACGATGTGTGACAAGTATGAAACATTGTCATTATACCTCTTGAGACAACCAGCCTGGGGCCAAGAATAGGTGTGTCTTTCTCTGAGCAACCATTCAGAAAGCTCAATGGAAAGCTTGGGGAGTGTCCAGAACTGGTCTGTCCATTAGATAGGCTCCAAAGAAGACAATGGATTCTTTTCATGGGGTCCACCTCATCTGTCTGCAGCTGCAGGACCTCATTTCCTCTTTTTCTTATGTTAATTACTCTTTCCCAGGTAGGAGTTAAACATGAACTCTGAGTTTACATACCATGGATCTCCCTCTTTGTACATGATATAGACTGTGGGACATTTTTGTCAGAAATTTTTAATAACTTTTAAAGTTCTGATTTTAAATCAGATGTAATAATGTCATTTTATCATTTAAGACCTGTTTAAAAGATGCTAATAACTAAAATAATGCATAACTTGAATCTGCCCATGATAAGGATCTACCCTGCAATAACTGTTAAAAATAAAGACTTATATCTACCCAATAGCTATTTTCTTTTTAAATTGGAAGCTTTTACAAGTCACTGAACTCAGCCTAATAGATATTTAAACATTTCAATAGCTCCCAGAAACAAATATATATATTTTTTCTGTTTAATTATATATAATATAATTTATACATTTACTTTGTAATACAATTGTGTTTATAAAGAATTACAATATAAATAAACTCAGTCATACTTCAACTAAAATTTTTGTGTGTGTATACAGTATACTTGTTTAATATCTATATATGATGATTGTTTTTTTAGACATTTGCATTATAATATATTAGTATATTTTTTTGTATTCATAATATAAATAATAATACACGCACATACCCAGTAATACTTCAAATATATGTATATGCGTGTACTATAATTTTATACATGTATATATTTTTACAAGTATTAAACAATGCTTTTTAAAAAAAATTACATATTTTTTACAATCTTTATAAAAAATTAGCTTTATCACAGAGTAATATAATTAACATTTTAGGACGACTTTTTTTTTTGCAAGTGAATACATTTCTAACAGTGTATGTGGTGTTCATTAGGTAAAGCCCATTCAGTTCAAATCATATATTAAAAGCAAACAAAATCTTTTGAACAACATTCAAATGTTCGAGAATTTTTCAAGGCTTTTCTTAAGAATTTTCAGTAGAAATTCTATCCATCTTTGGTCAGCTTAATGCAGGACATAGACGGGTTCGTTTAACGGACGAATTTTCGTCCGCACGAAAAATTGGCCGATAATCACACAGTTAGTGGGGCCAGCCCGTCGGCCGTTTTTCGCAGATCTTCTCATTTATTTTTATCGGTCATGTTGGAAAATCCACGAAAAACGGACTGTTTCGTGGACATTGGTGGCAGCATCGCTGCCAGCAACGGCCAATTTTTCTTTTATCGGCTGAAAATTCGGCCGATAAACGACCCGTCTATGGCCTGCCTAAGTGTGCAAATCAAAAGTTCTGATTAAATTTGTTTTTCAAAGTACAGGTTTCCTTTATGGTTGTTACTTGCTACACATGCACAGAGATAGCAATAGGAGTATATACAGAGGGCATCCTTTAATCACATTGAATATAAATACATCTTACAGATTTTTTTATCATAAGCTGGGAACCTACTAGAAGTTTTGTTTTGTTCAACCCAGCACTGTACTAACAAAAGTGATGTTGGTGCGGCACTCTCCTACACTGTGCTTTTGTGTAGACAGGGGGACTGGCCCCCCACCAGAACACACTGATCAGGATCCTGGTTTTCCAGCTTGCCCATTCCACAGAAGCCAGCAGTGAGACTGGCTTCTGTAGAACAGACAGCTGTACACACAGGCCAAAAGTTGGCCAGTTCCTGCCAAACAGACTGATTTCAGCCAATTTGTGGCCCATGTGTACAACACTTTACACTTTTTTTCTTTTTTTTCTGATTTAAGTGACTCTATAGCCACATATATATTTCTTTTTTGTTTTACTTTTGTTTATAGTGTGTTTTTTTTTTTTACTTTTGGATAGAGTAGGTATGGGTAGAGTGGGTATGGGTTAGACCTTTTAGGTTAGACAAATTTTTATTGCTGTCTGATTTTCTACCAGGTAGAGTCACCCTCTCTATTTCCCACTCCATTGTCTCTGTCCAATAGAGACAGAAAGTTATGGGAAATCAAAATGATACCAATATCTCCACAAAGTGAGAGTAGATTCCATGGAGACACCTGCTCTAGTGACAGCTGTCTAAGAATTCCTGTCACTTTGTAGAGATTTCCTTTCTAAACTCTGATAGGGGTTTTGACCCTTCTCTACTCTATCCAAAACTAAAAATACAATTTCTGAGTTACCTGTAAAATCCAGTTCTCTGAGTAAAGTAAAGGACACAGGCATAGCCTTAGGTGACTGTGTTTTATTCAGATACCAATTACCATTAGGTAGCTGTACACAACCCAGTTGTCTATGGCTCCATTCACACACAAGGAATTGCATGACAATGGAAATCCCATGGTTTGAATGGTACCTATTCACATAGATGCAGCTCAACATAGCACAGTCTTGGAAATGGGTTTCTCTACTACTGTGGTGAGTCCAGTGCTATTTTTACCCCATAGAATATGCAAACCACATCCAAGTTGTAGTCAGGTTGCAGCACATAATCACACTGAAAAAAGAAACCAGCCTAAGACTATGATTGTGTCCTGTACTGTAGGATGAAGAAAGAAAGTTTTACCTATATATTTGATTAAATATAGACAAATAAAAGAAAAAAAGATTTATTTGTATTCCCTGTGATAAAAGAATGTCTTCTTTAAATACACATTAATGTACATTTATAGCAACCATTAAGGAAACCTGTACTTTGAAAAAAAAACCATTACATAAACTTCCTACCAATAGAAGCTTAACAAGTGACCTGATTACAAAATGCTGAACAAATAATTTTGATTGTTGTTACTCTTCTACTACTTAAAGTATAACCATAGGCATTTTCTTCTTTTGGATAAAGTAAGAAAGTGTTATTTTTTTTATTTATTTTTTTTGCTATCTGTGTCTCAATAAGGAGATATAGATTCTCTTCCTGCCCATAGCCAAGACAGGAAGTGATAGGAAAGCCCTACAAATTAAAGGAATCCCTTGGGGACCCCCAGACCATCAGAACCAGCGTCCCCATTAGAAGATTTCCCCTCTATTACTTTTGTAGGGACAACCCAAAATTCTGGATTTTTTTTTTTACCTTTATTTTCTATAATAATAGTAACCAGAACTGAGAGGGTGAATCTCCCTAAAGGGGACATAGACAGAAATAAAAACTAACAGGTGTTTTAATTCCTTTAAACTCTATCTAAAACTAAAACAAAAAGTTTTGCTTTTAGTTATATTTTACTGGTATATATCAGTGACTGTTTGTATAATTACTTGCACCTTATACTATTTAGAATTTTCTGCTGTGGAGTAGTTTGTACACACTGGGGGCTTACCTAATTGTTTAATAGATATGCAAATGGAGCTGGAGCTGCCTAGGAGTGCATGGGACAGGTGATTATCTTGTGTGTGGGGGAGGAGTGTTTTGTTGGTCCAGGCACTCAAGCACTCAGTAGAGTGGACACATCCTTCACATATCAAAAGTTACTTATTATATCCAAGTAAAAATACATTTATTAGCCCATTTACATTTATTACAACACAAAAGATTTTTTTTAAATATTTTCCCCTCCTGAAATTGTTCTATTTTACAACTTTATGATTCTTGGTTTCTTAAAATATGCAATTATTTCTTTATTTATGGGGAATATTAAACAACACAGATTTCACAAGATCAATTGATAGTCATTATTTTTAGTCCAGCTGCTGCCATCTGATAGATTGGTCAATCCAAGACTAAGCTAAAATTGTCCTTCCTGGTTCCCGGTTGTTTGCAAGCAGTCACAGCTGCTAATGGGAAAGATCTGTGCAGCAAAAGGGGGGGCCTCTTACTGTATTTTTTTTTTAAGTCTGCGGAAGTGTGAAAAATGAAAAACCCGTAAGTGTACAAAAAACGTGCTAGTGCAAAACCAACACAAAAAAGTGCACTTAGTGGTGTGCTTTGTCCACCCCCCAAAGGGGTAGGACCTCTACCCTGATCCCCCGGGGAGCGAGGCTCATGACAGGGACTAAAGTTTCCACATGGTCTGCCTAGCCAAAAGGCCTGGTGGACCCCTTTCCTTCTGGCTAGCCAAAACCAGCCACCAAGTACTAGGTCAGGGAGCTCTTCCGAAGAGAGACCCCCCAGGGACAGGGGAGGAAGGAACCAAAAGGCCATACATCCTCCCCCTAGACTTCAGGGTAGGCCTGAGGACCCACACCCTACCGTCCGTGAGAAAAAACACACCCATAAGTGAAACAAACCTGGGAGAAAAATAAATTAAATAAATAAATAAGTAAAAATAAAAAAGTGGCTGTGCAATTGTGCACTGGCTAGGCCCTGAGGCCTGTAGCATAAAAATTGCCCTGGACTTAGCCAAAAGGCCTAGCCCTAAAAGGCGCAGTGCAGATAAAGTGTTTTGCAGCAGTGACCATGTGCACGTTTCACACTTGGGATTCCATCCCCATGTGCTACTAGGAGCACCCCTGAGGCGACCACTCAGTGGGCACTGTTCCGTGGACTCTCTGCCTCCCTGGCCCCTGGCCAGACAAGATAGATCAGTTCAAACCAGGAGGTACTGGGCCCCTCCAGCTTTCCCGGGGGAATTACTCCTGGACCCCAACTGCCTGTGGGCACCTTGGTTTCTGTTCCAGTCGGTACTAGCCTTCCGAGCCCCCATCATTCCAGCAGGGGTGCTAAACAGCCAACCATCCTCGCTAAGCAAGAATGATGGTGAAGCACCCCCACTGGACACTGATAAAAACAGATACTACACTGGATCTTAGCCAAAAGGCCGAGAAGCAATGAACCTCTCACTGTATCACTGCTAAAAAGTATTTTTGCATTAAAAAACATCAACACAGGATAAAATTTGCCACTGCATGTAGTGTATTTGCCTGTCAGCCAAGTCAGGGATTAGATTGTAGATTGATCCAAAGGTGGAAAAATAAGACTGAAAATTAAAAGTTACTTGATATATACCCTTTGAGCATGTTCCTGGGCAAGGCCTGGAGTGAGGTGGTGTTAAAGCAACTTCCAATAGGTTGACTTGTATCAGCAGAGATAAGAATCATCCGCACACCACAGATTCATAATCGAAAGTTCAGAGCTTTATTGAAGCAATCACGTCACAATAAGTGCAAGTGCAATGTTCTGAGACAATGCAGGACCTTTTCATTAGATGGGCATTTAAATCTTCTACTTGCACTTACTGTAAGTTCAGAAACATTTGGACTTTTGATCAAGGATCCATTGGGGGTTGGCAACATATGTTCTTTTCTGAGGAAGGAAAGCTGTTGAGTGCTTGCCATTCTAGAGGTCCTCTGATGTCCTATTTGCTATCTGTGGCTAGAAGGCAGGTACCTGGAGGACTGAATTTATCATACTTTATTCTCTGATTAGAGGGGGCAGAAACAAGCTCCAAAATATATTAAATGTGTTCCCACTGAATGTTTTTTCCCCCATTCCTGTTCTGGTGATAACTAAAAATATTGGATTTTTCCTAACCTTCAGCACCTGTGACAATGGCCACAAGGATACATAGAGAAGGCAGCTTTTCTTAGTGGGGAAACTATAAAAATCTGGCAGGGGTTCTAATCTCTATCCAAAAATTTAAAATAAATGTTTGGCTTTAAATATGCTTTCAATTAATATTAAAGGAAATATCAGTTTTCAAAGAAGCAGATGTCAGTCCTGTCTATCCTTTGATGGATATAGAAAAAATCCCACTGGATTGTTCAGAAGGCACTGGAAGACTGAGGAGCAGGGGCGGACTGACAACACATGGGGCCCCCGGGCAATAGGGGATCATGGGGCCCCTGTGTCCTTTCCCAAACTCAAAAAAGCCTATGAAAAAGGTACCAGGGGCATCTCATGGGGCCCCCTACTGACCCCCTGGGCAATAGGGGATCATGGGACCCCTGTGTCCTTGCCCAAACTCAAAAAAGCCTATACAAAAGGTACCAGGGGCATCTCATGGGGCCCCCTACTGACCCCGGGCCCTCAGGCAGTGCCAGAGTTTTCAAATGGTCAGTCCGCCCCTGCTGAGGAGTGGTGGCTCATTTTAGGGTTGAAAGCTTTGCTTATGCAATGGATACCAGTGCCAAAACACCCAATCTTTATTAGTAGTGTAATGGAGGGGGCTTACACAGGACAAAGAAATGGTCAGAACAAGTGGCATGGTGTGCAAATGAGAAGTTGTGGGACATAAATGTTTTATTTTTATTTTTTCAAATGCCATGAGATCTTATTTACATCCTGTGTTTGCCCTTTGGTCAACTCTGGGGACTGCAGCTATTTTGCCTGTACTCGGATTCTAGACTGTTAGGGCTGTCTGGTAAGATGGTCTGGATTGTCAGACTGTAAGAGTAAGGAAGTGTTTTGCAGCAAGCTGCAGTCTACACACATGGCACACACTTCATTAGAGACAATTCCTTTTTTACAGTGCACATGTCCAGATACGGTTTGTGGACGGAGTTCAGCTTTAATACTATGACATGGTTTCAGCAACTGAAATACAAATGCGCTACCTGAGACTGCTGAATCCATGACAACGTATAACCATTTACAAAAAAAAAAAATCTCAGTTTACAAACTTCCTCCACTTGCCCTCCAGAGGATTTACCCCCCTTCCTGACCAGGCCATTTTTTGCGATACGGCGCAGTGTTATTTTAACTGACAATTGCGCGGTCATGCAACGCTGCACCCAAATGAAATTTACATCCTTTTTTTTCCCACGAATAGAGCTTCTTTCAGTGGTATTTGATCACCTTTGCATTTTTATTTTTTGTGCTATAAAAAAAAACATCGACAATTTTGAGAAAAAACAATATTTTTGACTTTTTGCTATTAAACATGTCCAGTAAAAACATTTTAAAAATTAAATCCAGTAACAAATCAAATGCATTTTTTTGCATATAAATACATTTAAAATAGAAATTTCCTTCTTTCCAATAAAGCTGTTTACTTCTATTGAACAGTGTGAAGCCAGCCTTAGAATCTGTAGATTCATGCTGTAATGGCTTACTTGTTCCAAATTTCATTAAAGTTTAAATTGTTGATTGCAAGCTGTCCTGTTATTCATTTACAGTATTACATTTATGTAGCTTAATACAAGTACATATTTTATACTTATTCCACTGCTAATGTGAGTTTACATAAAATACCCCAATATCATCTTAGTGGGATGGAAGATGTGTTTGTTTTAGAACCACCTGTGTATGTGACTCCAGTAGATCATTTCTAATATCTGCTGAATTATATGTGCCATTGGCATTTGCTCTACTTGCCCATATTTGTCAGAAGGCTATCTATAGATAGATGGGCAACATCCACTGCAGCTATTTTAAACCAGATTGATCAACAGTCTCATATGTATGATTGCCCCTGAACCCGAAGGCTGCCAACCAAGACCTCTTGGAGGAACATATAACTAACAGGTTAGAAAGCCACTTTGGAGAGATCTCCTTTCACTTTCTGTGTATCTACAGGACAGTATTTTGTTTTATATATATATATATTTGGAAGAAAATGAAGGAGAGTCTTTACAATGAGGCATAAGTAAATTTTTTAATCACTTCAAAAATGAGAAAATATTCATTTGAGCTTTACATATACCTTAGGAGGGTTAATAGAAATTGAATAAAGATACATGGTTGACAAGGTCAACCTAACTATTAAACAAAAACTTTTTTCCCCAATACATCTAAATAGTTGATCCAGTAGAAGACAAATCCTATCTATAAAGATGTGTCAATATGCCTTAATAGACAAAGGATGTGCCTAAGTGCCTACGTAATGATAAATGCAATCTCATGTGAGCCCTTGATACACCCGTGTATGAATGTGAGGATGGTGAATTATGTTCTTGGAGAGAGTCAGAGTGCTCTATGAACACAAAATTCTTGACCTGTGGTGGCGCCAACAGCGATATAACCACCCTTGGCTCAAATGTTGGTCGATTGAGCAGGAACTGGCTGAGATTTGAGCTCTTTATGCACTGAGGTCCCAATGGAGCCTAGATCTGACCCTGATGGATACAACAGTACTTTATTTTTTTCTCCCTTTTACTTGAAAGAGTCAACCATTGAGTGTCCTTACAGTGGGATATGATGGTTTTAAAATCTCCCTGCAGAATTCTAAATGTTTCTAGCTACCTGTGTTTAGCATCAGCCTGGTATGTCCAAGCAATGCTCAAAACCAGGAGCCTAGTTTGTAATTATCAAACCATCTATGCCCAGACTAATTATTTTGCAGATTGGCCTGCCCGCAGCCAAGAAGCAGGAACCCACAGAAGTCCAATTTGTGCATGTACAGGGTGCTTTAAAGAGCAATGCAGTATCACTTAAATGTTGTCCCATTAGTTGGTTAAATAAAGGAGTGATCTCTCCCATAGATAGCAAGTCTCTGTCCTCATGATAAGGAACTCTTGTCAGCAAGCTCACAATCAACTGAGCAGTCTGCCAGTGATCGATGGCTGCATTATCACTTCTAGCTACTGTAGGTTTCTGCTTACAGCTACAGGCTACTTGTTAAGACCTCATGCCTTTATTGTCAGTCATCACACCTGAGACTGCAACAATTAATATCTAGGGGGTGAAGGGTGTCTGCTTTTATCATTCAACTCACCTTAAAGCCATTTAGCTGTCTAAAGAGGACGTAAAATGACCACGTGCCACTGATCAAGATGGAACCGGCACCATTTGGGATAACTCATGTAAAAATATGGAACTGGCCACAAGTGATAAACTACCCTTCCTGATATACCTTTAGTAAAAAATAAGGCCAATTTACTAAATGATTTGGAAATGTTAACCTAAATATGAATATTAATTTTAATTATCCAATCATGTGCAAAAGTAATAAGCAGACAGGAATTTTCTTTTCATGTGACTGGTTAATTAAAGTAAATATTTACACATTGTGTGATTAATAGATCAGCTCCAAACTTACAGTTTTTCTTTTATAATGTTAGATGGAGTGTAAAAACTTTAGAGTCCCCATCAGGTTTATATTGCTCTTTGTGTCCTCTCTGGGTAGATTCCATTGTCACAGGGGTTGAAAGTGAAGGAAAATACAACATTTAGAGTTGTCACAGGATTTTTAATTTCTTTATTTCAATTTATGTTTTTTTATTTTTCCTAAGTTATTTATTTAAAAAGGACTGGCAATAAAGGAAATCTCTACAAATGGACAGAGATGGCAGAAAAAAATTACTAGGATTTCTTTTCATTTCCTAATTTACCTCAAATTAAAAATATATATATATTTGGGTTTTAAATATAGTTTAAAAGGGTTAACTTCAAAAGAGATATGTTAGCCAAGGTCAACCAATATATTAACAAAACCCTCTTGTCATCCTAGAAAAGTTGATCCAAGAGAAGACAAAAACTTTTTTTTCCGGGTGTGCCAGTAAAGAAATAGTGTGCCAAAAAGCCTGTTTATTAAATTTCATGCAAACCCATGAAACATTCTGTTATGTATTTGAGGATGGTGAATTACATTATTGGATAGAGTCAGAGCACTTGTTGAACACACAATTCACTACCTGCCCTGGGTATGGGTGCAGTGGGAATTGCTGATTGGCATCAGGATTTGTTGTGATGTTTCTGAAGTCACATTTGCAGCCAGTTGTTTAACCCTTGGGATGTTACTGTCTGTCTAATTGGTTCAGGCATGGGTGGAGACCTTCCTTGTGGCAGCACTTATTTGTATACTTTGTATTGATGTGCAAAGTAAAAGAGACACACAATTGTATTTCTAAACAACCAATACAATGAACATTAAAGACGCTCTACTAACTACATTTAGGCACTCCCCTTTTCTCTACTGTCACCCACCAATTTGGATTAGTGAAATGTTAACCTCTTCACGCCGGCCGAACATAAATGTGCAGCCTCCTGGCGTCTAGGCTTAGACGCCGAGAGGCCGCACATTTGCGTTCTATTAAAAAAGAACATATGTGCTGAGAGCACGCGCCCTGCTCGCTCCCAGCGCACACGTCCGGTACTCACGGAAAGGTCCCAATCTCCTCTTTTGATCAGGACCTTTCCCGATCAGGTGACCGCCGTGACCGCGTGTCATGGGGTCACTTGACCCTAAACCCCCGCCCCGCCTCCCGGCTTCTGAAACCCTTAAAGGGCCAGGAGGCGCCGGTGCCAAGGGGTTAAAGCATGTTTATCATTACTTAGTTTTAATATAGTTATTTTAGTGTTATTTTATTATTTCCACATGCTGGCAGCTATAGTCATTACAAGGTCAGTGCCTTGCCATATCAACCGATACTGTCAATGGTGACAACTCACCAACAATAGGGATGAGCTCAGTGTTTGGACCTTTGTCCGAAAGCTGAATGTTTAGGACATTCAACACGAATGAACATGATAGCTTCCAGCTGAAACCGCTGTGTCCTTACCAACCATTAAAGTCCCCAGCCCATTCTTACATGGACAGGAATCCCCATAAGCCTAGCCACAGTAGCAAATGAGCAAGGGTAGCAGTGACACCATTGGCCATATTATTATTATACATTATTTATATAGCACCAAAGGTTTGCTCAGCGCTGTACATTATAGTGGGACATGAGACAATACAGTAACAAGACAAAACACAAGGGGTTCGAGGGCCCTGCTCTTTCAAGCTTACAATCTAGGAGGGAGGGGATAGTGGTACAGGAGGAAGTGGCTGTGGGGGATGGAGTGGTGGGAGAAGTGGAGGAGATCGGCTGTTAGGTGAGGGTGGGGTAGGCTTCCCTGAAGAGATGGGTTTTCAGGGTGTGCCTAAAGGTGAGGAGGGAAGGTGGCAGTCTGATATATATTTTGTCGATGATATCATCCTCACCCCCCCCCCCCCCCCCGTTTATATAGCCTATGATAACTCAGGTTTTTATTTTCTGGCAAGGCAGAGGTGATTGACAATGGATTGACACATGACTCTTTTCAGAATTTTTATTTTTTAATAAAGGACTTGTGAAATGCTTGTGTTTTTGTTACCACTAGGCTATCCCATACGTGCTAACATAAAGGGGGTTGTATCTGGGGAGCT